ACAAAATGTGGAACGATATAGCTCTCCTAAGAAGACCACGTTGAAAGAGGCTGCAATCAAGGAAACGATGAACATTGGGAGCCCGGCCAGTGTTTCTAGAGCTGGTCTCTATCCGGACCAATTAAAAGATGTCATAGGAACATTGTCGTCATCAGTTCGGGAACCTGCTGCACTCCCGCAGACCACTGGAGCAGATACCAAGGAGCCGGTAAGGGGAGAGATCCCCGTGCAAAGTAGCACAGCCAGCGTTGCTGCAGCAGTGCCAGGTGATACCACCAGCTCGTTTGCGGAGAGACTGAAAGCACGCAATGAGATGAAACGGACAATTAAATTTCCAACTATGACTGCGAAGGTTAGTCTTGATCATATCTAATTACCGAGTACGGGACAGTAGTGATACTTGGTGCCAGTGGAAAGGAGGTGTACAGCCGATGTGTATGTGATTGTGCGACGTGTCTTCCATCCTACTTCCCTTATGACGGACTGTTTGATCCTCCAGTGGTAGCAAGGTGTAAGCACGGCCTCACTATTCCAGTAACCTTGGAGGCAGAATCCGCGCTTACCATTTGTGGGTGCTAGGGTTTGAATACGAATGTCAAGATGCTAAATAAAGTTAGCATTGGTCAAAACGCACCAATACCATGCCATTCACTATTTTTTGAAGGCCGTTATCGGTCCCAGGCAGGGGCATACTGCGAAGGGACAGGAAAGAGAAACAGGTGATCGGATGGCGCGAGAGCAGACGTGACCGGAGCGATGTTAACGAAATGAAAAGGGAGAAGAACTGATGCAAGGGCGGAAACTGCCACTAGTGTCAGAGTACTGTGTTCTTATCAAGCATTTCTGAGATGGGAAAGTAGGACATCCGCATCACTATGTGGACGGCTATCTTGTCTGAGGAAAAACTTTTGTAGGTCGGTCAATCGCGCACTCTGCCTTTTGGCATCACTGAGATTTCGCGATGGCGTCTGCAGCATGCAGTAACCCGCGACTATGCGCTGTAACGCGCGTCGACGCGCTGCAATTGCAAGAGCGCTCTAGTGCTACGGGAATGCTGTAGACGGCAATCGATCGGCGCCGGCCGCTGTGTTTTGAGAAAGTGTCGAGGAATAGGAAGGTACCAAATTGTGTGAAGCTGTCCTACAATCTTGTTATCCTATATTCTCTCAAAACACGGGCGATCAGCACCGATCGATTCCCGCCCGTCGGGGTGCGCTTGCACTGCTAGTGCGTCAGAGCGCATTATCGCGAAGTCTGAACGCTGCCTTAAGCGACATCATCCGTGTTAAGGTGCGTTAAGAAGTTTCGGTCTAATACATTCAACCTCGTGTTCTCATGACCCCCCCCCACTACCATAATGGATTTATAATAAATATTTTTTTGGACTCCCTTAGCCACTGGCTTCAGAAGGGTACGGATTGCATGCTATTCTAGATTTCGCTTCTCTTCAAGATTCATTTCTGAATAGATCTTTCCTTTTCTTGCTGATCTCCTCACTGTTTCCCACTTATATTGTTGTTTTTTCAGGAAGAACCAGAGAAAGATAATGCCGCTGAGCCGAAAGCACCACCATCTAGTGAAACCGATGACGTCATGGGAAGATATTTGGCGCTAATAAGTGCAAAACCTGAAGAGAAGGAGCAATCGGCTCCGATGAGCGTGAGCTTTTTGTTGTGATACTCGTGAGATTTTTGTTAATTTCCACTCCACTAGTTCGAAACTAAGCGAGGCAAATTTTGATAAATACTTGAAAAAGTTACAGGTTGTGAGACCGAGTGAAAATATAGCTCCCGAAAGTGATTTTTTGGATTTGGAGGAAGTTGTCATTGATAAGGAACCGGACTTCGAAGATGAAATCGAGTGGTGACACCTGTTTACGCTCTACGAACTTGCCCACGCGTGTTTTTTGAGGGTTCATTGTTCTTCTTTTTTGAAATTTTAGGGGAATCGTGTTTGAATTGGGTTTTTGGACCTGGCAGATAGCTGTCAATTGTGTGTGAATTGCTCGTGATAGCTTATAGTTTTCCATGTATATGATATTAGTCATTGCTTTAAATTTTTTCCCGCTTTTTGGTCAGTTGTCAATTACTATATGTGGGGTCAATAAGGAAGTATGTAGTTTGGTTTCCGTTTCGCATCTGCTTTTAGATGGGAACCAAACAAGTCATGTATCCTTCCCTTGTGACGCGCCATGAGTAGAAGGCGCCTAATTCTCTAAATCACTAATGATAATTTACTTGGGTCGCTGTTATTTCTATCGAATTGTTTATTTCATATCATATTGTCGTGAAAGTGAACCTTCTGTCCTTTTAGATTAGCATTAGCCATGCAACTAGCCATAGTAGTCTATGCAGGAATATGCAACACCTTTCCGTATCATTTATTATAGACAAGTTTGGACGGAGCAGTTCGCAGACCAGGCGGGAGTATTAATAAGTTCAAGTACGGAATCAACTGTCAATCCTGATAAGTCATGAACCGGTAATGAGAAGACAGGACTTGGGTGGGAAAAATGCCACCAACTCTCCCGTTCGCCAAACTGCGTTGAAATTTTTTCTGTGGTGATTTCACAGTTCATTAACATGAAGTTGGATATTTCAGTGTAAAAGGAATAGGTTTTGGTTCCGTGCTTAGAGAATCTATTCACTCAGTGATTGTTTTCTAGTGTATTGATTGATGGGAAGTCAAGATGGGCGAAAATGTGGATTAGCTTATGTAAAGTGCAACTATTAGTTATGGATATCTTTTAAATGCATCTAGGTAATGTGATCATTGTGATGATTCTGAATTGCACTTTCAGCTTCTGCTCGAATGATCATTTTATATATAAATAGATTATCTGCTTCTATAATCGTTTTTATGAAGAATGTTCCTCTTGATTTCAGCAAATGTATAATAAAAAAAAATATGCAAGACATTTTGTTACAGATATCTTCCAAGCTGGTTACGGGACAAGTGAATTGTCATTTTTTGAGTGAATTGTATTTTTGGTAAAGCAACTAGAAGCAAAATTGATGAAAGATTTCACCCTTACTGTTACTGTTTTCAAAGTCCCGTCCCCCCCATGTAGAGAGAAATGATATACGTATATTTTGTCTCAAGAACCGTTCAAAGACACGTTCACATTGAACGTTTGGGCGGGGATAGATAACCAATTGTGCCTTTCTCATCAGTGTGCTTTTGATTCTTACGAATTTTTCTTTTCTGGGACCCTTTGCAACCTTTCATTTCCAGATTTCTCTTGAATCCAGTTTCCAGTCTTTAACGTACCCTTCATGGGGTATTCGTAACATGCTTTGGATCAACTTTGGAATCTGGGGACCAGCTGTCGAAGTGCGACTGAAGGTCCATTTTGGACCGGACGAGGTACTTCATGGGTGGGGCAATGTCAGTGTATGCGATTTATGGGGAAAAACCGCCCAGGCGAGACTCGCAGCTCCATCTGAGTCAACTTCGCGAAATGGAGCGCGCATTCTCATTCATCAAAAAGACTTTCCTCTGTGTCCTTCTGAGCTGAGCTACCACTTCTCCAGCTGTTTTTCAGTTGCAGTACAACTCAGCAGTGATAGTTGAACCGTATAGCAGTAGCTCCCACGGGACCCGCACGAAATCCCATCAGCAATACTACGTGATATTTTTGAACTGCGATCGAGGAGTTGAGATTCGCTTCTCTCCCGGCTTGAGCTATTCTCACCTACGTACAGTTGACGGCAGTTGGAGCGAAAGAATCTTTTCATGGCGCTGTACGGCGACGGGGGGGGGGCATTTTGTACCTTCACTGCTTTACTAGTTCCGGTTCACAAGTTCCGCTCTGGTGAAACCTGTGAACTCTTGTGAAGCTGGAGCAAGCTCGTCTAGCCACCATGGTAAAACCCGTCAACTCTTGTCTTGCTCATGAAAGAGCTCTCTAGATGGCTCGGAGTGCAAGATGCGCCTCCCCTCGCCGTCGAAACGGCCCTTTTCATTTCCTTTACCGCTTAGTCCAACTGGTGAAATCAAGTGAGGAGAGGTGTAAGGGGAGTGAAAGTGAGTGAATGTTGCAGATGTCGGGCCAACCTGCATGTAACAGAGTATGAGCTAGGGGTACAGGACTCTACCGGACCGAATATTCCCTCGCTACGAGGCTCCAGTGCTTTTACTCATCGCATCTCCTGGTCGGGCATTTGGAGGGAGAAGTTGAGGAAGAGGGATCGGAGAAGCATGGAATGAAAAGAAGCAAGGAAATAGG